AAAAATCCGATCTCTCGACTGAAATAGCCCTCGGAATAAAAGAAGGTCCAATTATCGAATTGATGCACACCCTTAATCTTCTCGACAGCACCTTGGACAAAATCTTGTAAAGCCCTCTGGCCAAACTGATATGCCTAGTCTTCCACACTAGCCGAATTTACCTTCTTGGGGATGAGAGTTATAAAAGAATGGTTAACCCCCTTTCCCAATGTTTTCCCCTGAAAAAGTCTTAAAAAAAACTAACAATACCATCTTTTAATTGAGGCTAGAACTTCTTAAAGAAACTCATATTCAAGCCATCTAGACCAGGAGCTTTATTGCATATGCTTATTATTTTAGAAAATTTTGATTTTGTTTTCAAGCCATCTGTACCAGGAGCATCACCCATATATTCCTAAAATAGTTGCATATTATTAACAATATTAAACTTAGTTGGTGATGCTCTTTTGCATATGCTTGTTATTTTAGGAAATTTTGATATTGTCTTCTTTTTTCTCTTGATGTTTGTGTCTTCATTGAAAATCTACAGTACGGAACTTTTAAGAGGAGGTTATTCTATATTACCTTAAAATACCTTGTCGTGGCTGATTTTTGCTTTGCAGGAACAAGTTCTTTTGGGTGGCCATGGACTTATGGTGCAGGGTTATGATCCTATAATAAAAGAGCTTGCTAAAGATATTGACGTACGCTTGAATCACAGGTAATGCTTGGTACATCAAAATGGTCACTTTCGTTAAATGTTTTAATGCGTCTAAAAGAATATTGCGCTCCTCATACCAAAGAGATTTAGTCTAGAGACAAAGCATATCTCTGCTTGAGACTCTTTTACTAGTATGGTATTAGATTCGGCGTTTTGTCAATTTAATTACCAACAGAGTTTATTATGTAGTTTGGTACCGAAGATATGGTCATCTGTCTGACTTGGTACCTGAATATAAAAATGTGCAATACAGTACTTGAACTTTACTTCTACATTGCATCCACCATTGGTGGTTTGGTATGGCATATCCTCAACACACTCGATTACTTGGTAACGATGTGGCATTGATGGGGTGAAGATATAACAATGATATGCTTAATCTTTTGCTGGAGCTGTATAATATGCAATCTGATAGACAAGCAAAATTTGAGGACTTTATTGCACATTTTTAAACTTTAGGTGCAAAACCACATTTAGCTATATAGTCCAGGTATCAAATATGCAGTTACTTTTGTTACATACTTGAGCAGCTGTGATCTCCACATGCATGGCTCAGCATGTTAAATTTGTTGTTGGGAATTGTAAATATCTTCATGCAGCATATAGAATGGCCCTTTGTTTCTTTAACCATGAAAAATTAAGGAATGGAACTTGTTTATGGTGCTTGTCAGGCAACAAAGATTCTGATTCTTTTGTGGATATTCATGAGTAGGGTCACTAAAATATCACAAGAATACAATAAGGTGGTGGTCGATATTGAGGACGGGATGAGCCTCATTGCTGACGCAGCTATAGTAACCGTTCCCCTTGGGGTTCTTAAAGCCAATTTGATTCGGTTTGAACCGAAATTGCCAGAGTGGAAGGTTGCTGCCATTTCCGAAATTGGTGTTGGTAACGAAAACAAGACCGCCTTACTATTTGACCGAGTCTTTTGGCCGAATGTTGAGCTTCTAGGAATTGTTGCACCCACTTCTTATTCTTGTGGTTATTTTCTCAATCTTCACAAAGCAACAGGCCATCCTGTTCTCGTCTATATGGCCGCTGGAAGATTTGCTGATGATCTTGAGAAGTTTTCTGATGAGTACGCCGCTAACTTTGTGATGTTGCAGTTGAAGAAAATGTTTCCCGACGCACCTGATCCGGTAAATTTTATCATTTTCAGCTACTAATATATACAATAACCAGACATTTCCTATGCTAGAGTAGACTTGTTTTAAGGACTTGCTAATGCTAATCTTACCCGGATCGTCTTGTCGTTCTAGTTTCCTCTATTATTCATAATGGTTTGCGTGTCTCCTAAGAAAGGCATGAGCTGATATCCGAATTTGGTAAAATGTGAAAACAGGTGCAGTATCTCGTGTCCCATTGGGGAACAGATCGAGACTCCCTCGGCTGTTATTCATACGATCCGGTCGGGATGGCAGGAGATTTGTATCAGAAGCTTAAAGCACCTTTTGGTAATCTCTTCTTTGGAGGGGAAGCAGTTAGCGAGGAACACTCGGGGTCGGTGCACGGAGCCTACTCTTCCGGAGTCGTGGCTGCTGGAAACTGTGAGAGCCATCTCTTGCAGAGATTAGGTAACTTCAAAAGAAGGCTCCAGCTGATCTTTAGGGATACTGATGCATTATTAGAACCTACATTTCCCCTCCAGATTTCAAGGATTTGAACGTTCGTCTTCTTTTACCCTTTTCACAAGACTCTGTGAATCCATTATCCATGTCAACTTTACTTTTATTTCCTATGGTGAAAGTATCTTTTTATGTAGCAAACGTTATTTACAAATGCCCTGCACCAATGCAGTAATCCTCATTTCTCATTCGTGCAATTGTTATTTAAATTGACTTGACCTTTTAAATTAGGCGTATTCAGTTTGAATGATATAAAAGTATCAATAATAAATATTATTTGATAATCATAGCATTTTTAAATTGTAATTACGATAATTGTATCATAATAACATAAAAAATTATAGTTAAAATTTGACTTGGTACAAAAAAAAATAATTTAATTTAGTGTTAAAAAATGATTTGACTCGACTCGTAACTTAATAAATTCAACTCAAAAAAATAAATAAATTTTGAGTTATATTATAGGATTCATATAATTCAAATAACTTGAAAGTTTCAGTAATTAGTGTATTGATTTTCAAGTTTGAATCGAATCTCTCAACTCTACATGATATATGTGTGTGTGGTCATAGAAAGTCATTTAAATTAGAATCAATTATTCTCCCTAAGCCTAAAAGTCTCGAGTTCAAGAGTCGTCTGGAGGGTGCATGGTTTATATGTGATCACCTTAGACAAATAAAAAAATAGAATCAATTAATATCATAACATTATAAAATATTTACAATTAAAACAAAAACTCGAACAACTCGATCAACTCAAGATTTTTGAACTCGACTAGATCAATTGTACAAAAGAGTACAAGCAAAAATTAGGAAAATCATCGTGGAGGTAGATTCATGCATAATGAAATATTAATGCAAATTATAGTGTTCTAAATTTATTTCCCGGAGTTCTTATAGAATTTATCACACAATCACATTCGCCCCCAGTACAAATCCTAATATATATATATATATACAACACTTTTGAAATAAAATATTGATTCTTAATATAATATACAAACCCTAATACAAGTAGGAATCATATATAAAGAAGTTTTTATACTATAATTAATCATAAATATTCAACGCTAAATCAAATTTATTTTCCTAATAAACATCAGATTATGCAAAACAAAGCTTATAAAAAGCATATTACTATGTTATTGTCACGTACCATTCTCTCTCGTTGCTCTGAATATATTTCTTTCAACATGGTAATAAGACCTGATATCATCGTGTTTGTATTATGGGGGCTGCTGCTTCTACTGATGGTAATATCGACGATAATACTTTGTTGCTGCAACGACGTGAATCGGGACCTCGAAGCCGGACTAGCGAGCTACTCGGTACGAGGTGTCTGAGCCGTGCAGGCCTCGAGACAGAGCATACGTACCATCGATTTTGCGACGATCAATGGCTGATTCAGGATATGCATTGTCCGTTTTGTCGTGTTTCGATCGACGATTTGGAGTTAACACCGTTGAGTGGCGCTGATCGGAATCAAATCTGTTCGCCCCGAATTTCGACTTGAAATTCCTTCTTGTGTATACTCTGATATATATCCTTTTTTTATTTATCATTAATGTTTACTCTTCTTAAATTACAACATTATATATGTAACATTAAGTGGGATTATATTATGATGCTGAAACTAATGAATTTTTTTTTTATTTTATTTATGACGTTTAATAATTATATATAAATATATCTCATATTAGAAATTAAGTTAAATTAGATCTATAGTAAAAAAATTGTTTTACAGCTGCTGGAAACAAAATCTCAAGGAAAAATAATACTCTTCTTAACATTGAAATTTAATAAGTTCAAAAAAAAATTCAATGTACATTATATATTAGGGTAAACTACGCATTTAATATCTAGACTATCAGTTTTGGTTTCAAAACCAAACCTAACATTTAGTTTTCATTTCATTTTAGTATCCGTTGTTAAAAACTTAATGTGTTTAGTGTATAAACTATTAGTTTTGTCCATTTTAATTCCTAAACTTTCATTTTTTTTCAAAAAACTTAACGTTAAATTTTAAGCGGTCAGTAAAATGAAACAAAAACTAAAATTTTTAACGACCAGCTACTAAAATGAATCAAAAACTAAACTTTAGGTATGATTTTGAAAAAATTGAAAGTTTAAATACTATAATAGAACAAAACTGTAGTTTACATACTAAATGCATAATTTACCCTAAATTTTATTAGGAGACAATAATTTTTTTGCCACTTGATTTAAAAAAGTTGCAAATTTTCATTTTTCCGGTGCATCTTGCATTAGTTTACCGTTTTACATGTCAAAGGTTCACTAACAAAATAAAATAATTTTCAATATATTTATGTTCTAAATAAAAAAAGTATTCAAACATCAATCAAACTCATAATTAATATAGATGAGATTGAGATTGTTTAATATTTAAAATTATATTTAAAAAATTATTATTAAATTGATGAATTAATTTGATATTTTGTTTAAATTTATTTAAAACATATATTTTTCTCAATTGGCTCCAATTAGAATTAGCCACGTAACTAAACACGGTGGGTCTGAATTCCAGCAAATCCCAGATCGGTCCAAAAGTTCAACCCGACGGTCGGTGGGGTCAACTGTCAAGTCTGGCCAGCACTGTGTGTACAAAAATTAACAATATATATATATATATATAAATTGAAGGAACTACTAGAGAAGTCAGGCTCCGATTTCCATCCTACGCGAAGCTCCCTTAGGTTTATCTCAATCTTGGCATCTTTCGGCGGCTACACCGTCTCAGATCTCCGGCCCAACTATAACGCTGACTCTCTTACTGGGCTGATCCAACTATAAGTGATTGTTCCACTTCATCGGCAGCTAATTCCAGGTGATTTATTTTATAAAATCTTGTTTGATTGTCGCTTCTTCTGTGGTTCTAGTTGTAGCCTTCGATTAACATGCGCGCGGATTAGTGACACTAATTAATTTTACGGATTTGCGAAGTTTTTTTGGGGGAAATTATGATAAAAGAAAATGATATTTTGAGTTACAGATTTGTTTGGTGAGTGGTTGATCTGCTTGATTTTAATGGTTGGACTTATATTGACTATAGTGTTTAAGCTGGAGTGTTCACTTTTGTACTGAGAAGTGCTTATGGAATGGAATTTGTGATCATATCTGGGATTTGGAGCTACTTTGAAACTGAAATACTGTGCTGGGACACTTTTAGGTGGAAAGTCTGGTGAAATTGGAGATTTGAGCTTTTTTGTTTGCTTGTTTTACTAGCACTTGCAGCGGTTAATTAGCCTTACCAAACTATTGCACAATACGTTTTCATGCATGTGCAATTACAAGTTGGTTCTGAGTATAAATTTCCCGTGATTTCATTGAATGTTGGCCTATGCCAGGCTGCATTTGGATGACCATTCACCATGCCATACTTATCATTGTTTGCTTCCCTTTTTTTTTGTGTGTGTGGGGGTGGGGGGGGTTCTTTCAACATGCCATATTTAATATCTTGAATGGGAATCTTCAAAAGTTAAGGGAGATTCCTTTGGAGCAAGCTATTTATTTAAAGACAAAAAATAGATGAAGAAACTATGTTCTGCGGTTTAGAAGGCTAAAGATATCCCTCACATGAACATTTGATAAGAGAAAACTCAAATATTTTTTTTATATCTAGACCTCAAACTCACACACAACGGAAAACCAAATGCATTTTGCTTCTGGTATTTTGTTCTAGAAATTAATTTTATCCATCCATCTCCTTTTGTTCTTCCTATTTGTGCTTTGACCTGGCAATTTTGAATACTGTATGAAATGTTACACAACCATATAATGTCTAATGGACATGAAAATTGTGTAATGAACACAATATGCTTTAAGCACAATTAATTTGACACAGTTACTTCGTTTATCCTATTCATGTTTATGATTTTAACACATTCTATAATTTTTGTTTTCTTTGTGTTTACACAATTCAAACAGAGAAAAGAATGAGATAAAACACACATACACGGGATTTCTGGATCATTTGTAACTTTGATTCACTAATTTGCATCTTCTATTCCTGCAATGCATGTAAAACACGGTGGTGGTTAAGATATTTTTTCCTTTTTATTTAACGAAGAAAAAGTGAATTATCTTTTAACATTTGTACTTACTTCCTTTTCTAGATTTGCATTTTACAAATTAGAGATAATTGTCAAGGACCGAGTCATGAGTTGCTTTGACTGTTGTGAAGAAGATGATATCCACAAAGCCACAGACAATGGAGGCCAATATGTGGCTAAAAATTCAGCAGGTAATCCTTTGGCGGAATTTCACATCAGCTTCTTTGGGAACTTCACTTGCATATTTCTGCACCTTCACCACGTGAAATAATTGAATCAATCATAGTAAGTAGGATGGCATGAGATTCTTTGGTGCTTATGCCCATTGTCAGTTGTAGTTTAATTATTATTTAGCTTTAATTTTATGTCTGATTTTTACTAGAATGATATACACACGCACAAAATACATCTGCTATTTTTTAGAACCTAATTTAGTTTACCACTTGATAAGTATTTGACTATCTTTTGCATGTCATGGATGGCCATGCTGTTTGTTCTTTTTACTGAATCTATTTTTCTAATCTGGGTTGAATTTTTCCAAAGGAAATGATGGAGGTTACCATACATCTGAAACTGCATCGAAGAGTGCTCAAACGGTAAAGGTTCAGCCTATTGAAGTCCCTGCTATCCCTGCAGATGAATTAAGGGAAATCACTGATAGCTATGGCACCAATGCTTTGATTGGAGAAGGTTCATATGGTCGAGTTTATTATGGAGTTCTGAAAAGTGGGCAGGCTGCAGCAATCAAAAAGTTAGATGCTAGCAAGCAACCTGATGATGAGTTTTTAGCCCAGGTACAGTTGACAACTAAAATTCTTCGCATTTACCACATCAGATGTAATTTTTGAGTTTCATATTTATATCCATTGATGAATGGAGTTTCAGGTTTCCATGGTTTCAAGGTTGAAGCATGAAAACTTTGTTCAATTGCTTTGTTACTGTGTTGATGGGAGCTCTCGTATACTTGCCTATGAGTTTGCATCTAATGGTTCCCTGCATGATATTCTTCACGGTATATGTGGTGATGCTTTTTTTTTTTTTTTTTGCTCTAGCTATTCAAAGTTGAAAACCATATATAGGAATGCAATGATGTTTGAAGGAAGGATCTTCTTGTGATGCTACTATAAACTTTAATTATAAAGTTCCTTCTATTGGAAATGAAATATTCAGTTTGTAACTTATCTGTTGTGCTGTTAATATTGCAAGATTATTATTTCTTTGATGCCAGGGAGAAAAGGTGTCAAGGGAGCTCAGCCAGGCCCTGTTCTGACATGGGCACAAAGAGTAAAAATTGCTGTAGGAGCTGCGAAAGGGCTTGAGTACTTGCATGAGAAGGCTAATCCTCACATCGTTCATCGCGACATAAAGTCCAGCAATGTGCTAATATTTGATGATGATGTGGCGAAGATTGCAGACTTTGATTTATCTAATCAGGCTCCTGATATGGCAGCCCGTCTTCATTCCACTCGTGTACTTGGAACCTTTGGTTATCATGCTCCTGAGTAAGTTATTTGGACAAACTTAGTTGCTGAATCAATAGTGAATTTTTGTTACTTGTAACCTAGAATGCGGTAGTTTTTTTTAATTTAATAACTGAGATTCTTTAGGGAACAAGCATATGATATCCATAAGTTATTCTCCTATAGATCTTGATTTAAGATTGAATACCTTGAAAATTGACTGTTCGTTGGCAGATATGCAATGACTGGGCAATTAAATGCCAAGAGTGATGTATACAGTTTTGGTGTCGTGCTGCTGGAGCTTTTGACCGGTAGAAAGCCTGTTGATCATACTTTACCTCGTGGGCAGCAAAGTCTTGTGACATGGGTACTTTTCTGCAACTTGTTTTCGTATATCCAGCCTCAATTTCGTTGTTAAACTTTTCAGACATGGCTGATTAATGAAAGGTTTGAATTGCATTTAGGCTACGCCAAGACTTAGCGAAGACAAGGTTAGGCAGTGTGTTGATCAAAGACTAGGAGGAGATTATCCTCCCAAGGCTGTTGCCAAGGTATTGATATACTTGCTCGCTTCCGATCACGTCTGTTTCTATTTGCAAATTCTCTGTGTTAGCACCCACTATTTACCGTGGCTTTAAACCTTAAACTGGTCCTGGCTTGACTTTTCCGGGACTGGTGCCAATGTCGACGTCAGTCACTATCACATTTCCGTGCCTAAAATATCTTAATTGTTCTGATTGCAGATGGCTGCAGTTGCTGCATTGTGTGTGCAATACGAAGCTGATTTCAGACCAAATATGAGCATCGTTGTCAAAGCTCTTCAGCCTCTGTTAAATGCCCGACCTGGACCTGCTGGTGAAACACCAAGCACATAACTTCATGCGCCGCGGTCTTTCCATCTCAATTCCGCCTGCGCGCACGAAAGCATTCACACGTTTTAAGCATCCAAAAGTTGTAACAAGGGGACAATTTTAGAAGGTGATGATAAATTGTTTATTCAAAGTTCCATATGCATCAATTACATACTCGATTCGATTTGTTCATAACGTGTGAGGTGTTCTTTTCTGGTTCTTGCATATATGTTTGATCGTCTTGTATTTTCTTTGCTCTAGAATTTAATCATAACCTCTCTTCCTTGAATGAAATTGTTAGCTTTTCCTTTTCTTTAAAATGGATTAGAAAAAATCACCATGAAAGAAAGATGGTGGTGATGATGATGAACGAGTGGAGGGATGTTATCAGTAGTTGAGAGAATTTGCAGATGCTTCTAAAACAAATGAGGTGAAATTAATTCAAATTTCAATTCCTTATAATATTTTTATATATTGTCTTAATTTAAATAAACTGATTTCATCATCATTACTCAATATGGTAAAGTAATTTTTTAATAAGAGTGGAAATGGGTTGCTCAAAATCAAATTTAAGACATGGCGTCTATTAAAATTATAAAACAACTAGGTTTAATTGACAATATCTTTTATATTATGAATAAATATATAATTTGGTACCTAAATTCAATTTTAAGGTTCAATTTGGTACCTAAATATTTTCTTATCCATTTAGGTTCACGAACTTGACTTCATGGTTCAATTTGGTGCTTAAATGTTTTTCTAGCGCAATTAAGCACTTGAATTTGGTTTTCGATTCGCAACTTACTTGAATTTGGTTTTTGATTTGCAACTTGAACTTTTTTGGTACAATTAGATTCATGAACTTAATTTTTCAGTTCAAATTTGTATTTGAACTTTATTTTTTGTTCAAATTGGTACTGACGGTTTTTAAACAAATAAAAAAAAGTTTAAATACGATTCTGAAGCGAAAAATCAATTTGAATGACTAGAAGAAAATAGGTATTTGTTCTGTGCTCCACGCCGCACTTTGGGGTCTGTTGGACGGTCTCCATGTGGCCTGGAATAATGGAGCTAGACGTCTCATGGTGGAGATGGATAACGCGGAAGCCGTTAGTTTGATTACCACCCTGTTGACTAGCACCGAAAAGGTGCCTAAATTAATGCACCGAAAGGTGCATGCCCTTTTGTTGAAAATATAAAAAATGGAATAATTCAATTTAGTCACTAAATTTTAGGGTATTTACAAATTAGTCCTTAGGTTTCAACTATAAATATCCTAGCTCATTTAGCTTCAAAACCATCCCAAAAGCATTCTAGCTTTCTTCCAATACTAGAGAGAATTTAGAGAGTTTCTTGAGAGTTGTTTTTTCTCCTTTTTTTATCAAGAGAGAATTATCATTGTTTTCTCCTTGGTCGATAGAGAGAAGTTGTAATTCCTATTTTCTCATAGTGAAATTCTTCTACCGTTGCCCGTGGTTTTTTACCCTAAATTTTTAGGGGTTTTCCACATAAATTTTGTCTCTTTTATCTTCATTTTTTATTTTCTCAAATTATCAGTTGCGATTTTGCTCTATCCGATAGCCGTCTTACGCAACAATTGGTATCCGAGCCAGATTTGAGTGTGTAATATCTGCTTATTGTCTTTGTGGTTGCCACCAAAAGGTGGATCCTCCAACATAAGAAAGTAAGAAGTTATTACCCATTCTTTGAGGTTCTAGCGAACTATTCACGATAGTGAAATAGTGGGAGCTATCTGTAATAGAAGCTATGGCAACGAAATTTGATATTGAAAAATTCAATGGGAGAAATTTCTCATTGTGGAAATTGAAGATGAAGGCCATCCTGAGAAAAGACGGGTGTCTAGCGGCTATCAGTGAAAGGCCGATGGATTTTGCAGATGACATCAAATGGAACGAGATGGACGGGAATGCTATGGCAAACTTTCATCTACTATTAGCAGATGAAGTATTGTCAAGCATCGAGGAGAAGAAGACATCTAAGGAGATATGGGATCATCTCACTAAATTGTACGAGGCCACTTCGTTGCACAATAAAATTTTCCTTAAAAGAAAATTGTACACTCTCCGTATGCCAGAATCTACTTCAGTGACAGAGCACTTAAATACACTGAACACCTTATTTTCTCAGCTTACATCCTTAAGCTGTAAAATAGGAGAACAAGAACGTGCTGAACTTCTACTTCAAAGTCTACCGGATTCATACGATCAACTCATCATCAACTTGACAAACAGTAATGTCACCAGTTTAGTCTTCGATGATGTTGCAGCTGCTGTTCTACAAGAAGAAAATCGGCGCAAGAACAAGGAAGACAGACAAGTAAATCTGCAACAAGCAGAAGCGTTGACAACGATGACAACGATGAGAGGAAGATCAACAGAACGTGGCCAAAGCAGCAGTCACAAACATGGTAGATCGAAGTCGAGGAGCAAGAAGAATTTAAAGTGTTACAACTGTGGAAAGAAGGGTCACTTGAAGAAGGATTGTTGGAGTCTAAATAAAAACTCCAATCCACAAGGCAATACCGCAAACACTTCAGATGATGGAAATGCTCTATGCTGTGAAGCATCAACCGCCGTAGAAGGAAGAAAACGATTTGCAGATATATGGCTCATTGATTCGGGAGCAACATATCACATGACCTCAAGAAGAGAATGGTTCCATCATTATGAACCTGTCTTAGGAGGATCTGTTTATAGTTGCAATGATCATGCCTTAGAGATCGTTGGCGTGGGAACCATCAAATTGAAGATGTATGACGGAACAATTAAAGTTGTTCGAGATGTGCGGCACGTGAAAGGCCTGAAGAAAAATTTATTATCCTACGGATTGTTGGATAATAATGCTAACAAGATTGAAACACAGAAAGGAATCATGAAGGTGTTCCGTGGAGCGCTTGTGGTGCTGAAAGGCGAAAAGATAGCAGCAAACTTGTACATGCTAAAAGGAGAAACTTTGCTAGAAGCAGAAGCCTCTATTGCCTCATGTAGTTCATATTCTGCAATGCTATGGCATCAGAAACTTGGACACATGTCAGAACAAGGAATGAAAGTCCTTGTGGAGCAAAAACTACTTCCAGGCTTAACAAAGGTATCACTTACTTTGTGTGAGCACTGCATAACAAGTAAGCAGCACCGGTTGAAATTCAACACATCAAATTCTAGAGGCAAAAGTGTTCTAGAATTGGTTCACTTTGATGTATGGCAAGCACCGGTTACATCCCTAGGCGGAGCAAAATATTTTGTCTCATTTATTGATGACTACTCCAGGAGATGTTGGGTGTATCATATTAAGAAGAAGTCAGATGTGTTTTCAACTTTCAAAAACTTCAAAGCACGGGTGGAACTTGATTCTGGAAATAAGATCAAGTGTTTCAGAACAGATAATGGAGGAGAATATACAAGTGAAGAATTTGATGACTTTTGCAGGAAAGAATGCATCAAAAGACAGTTCACAGTGGCGAACACTCCTCAACAAAATGGAGTGGCAGAGCGGATGAACAGAACCTTGTTAGAAAGAACAAGAGCAATATTGAGGGATGCAGGCCTAGAAAAATCATTCTGGGCAGAAGCAGTCAATACCGCCTGTTATTTGGTGAATCGAGCTCCATCAACTGCAATAGAGATGAAGACACCAATGGAGATGTGGACTGGTAAACCAGCTGATTATTCAAACCTCCATGTATTTGGAAGCATTGTGTACGTGATGTACAACCCCCAAGAAATTTCAAAGCTAGATCCAAAATCTAGGAAATGCAAATTCTTGGGGTATGCTGATGGTGTAAAGGGGTATCGCTTGTGGGATCCCACTGCCCGCAAAGTGATCATTAGCAGGGATGTTATCTTTGTAGAAGATAAGCTACAAAGAAAAGAAGACGATGCTAGCGCTGAAAAGTCAGAGACTACTCATATACATGTGGAAAAGGAGGTTGAACAAGGAGATTCTTCTGAAGCAGAACCAGCTCATGATGAACAAGAACTAGAGAGTTCTAAAGCTCCAATAACTCGTCAATCAGATCGTGTGAGAAGACGTCCCAATTGGCACTCAGATTATGTTATAGAATGTAATATTGCATACTGCCTTTTAACAGAGGACGGTGAGCCATCAACATACCAGGAGGCAATAAACAACTCAGATGCTTCATTATGGATGATGGCGATGCAAGAAGAAATCGAAGCCCTTCATAAAAATAATACATGGGACCTTGTGCCACTACCACAAGGAATGAAGCCAATTGGTAACAAATGGGTCTTCAAAATCAAGCGAAATGGTGACGATCAAGTGGAGAGGTATCGTGCAAGATTGGTGGTCAAAGGATATGCTCAAAAAGAAGGTATTGATTTCAATGAAATTTTTTCTCCTGTGGTTCGACTAACAACAGTTCGAGTACTCTTGGCAATGTGTGCTACATTGAACTTACATCTAGAGCAGCTAGATGTTAAAACAGCTTTTCTTCATGGAAATCTTGAAGAAGAGATTTATATGCTCCAGCCTGAAGGTTTTGAAGAAAAAGAAAAGAAGAACTTGGTTTGCAGGTTGAACAAATCTCTGTACGGTCTAAAGCATGCGCCGAGGTGTTGGTATAAGAGATTTGATTCCTTCATTTTGTGCCTTGGATACAACAGACTTAATGCAGACCCTTGTGCTTATTTCAAGAGGTCTGGTGATAACGATTTTGTTATATTGCTGTTGTATGTGGATGACATGTTGGTTGCAGGACCCAACAAAGATCATATTGAAGAATTAAAGGCACAACTGGCTAGAGAATTTGAAATGAAGGACTTGGGATCAGCAAACAAGATTCTAGGGATGCAAATTCACCGAGACAGAAGTAATAGGAAGATTTGGCTTTCACAAAAGAATTACTTGAGGAAGATCTTGTCACGATTCAACATGCAAGATTGTAAGCCAATTTCTACCCCTCTTCCTATTAACTTCAAATTATCCTCCAGTATGAGTCCTAGCAGTGAAGAAGAGAGGATGGAGATGTCTCGAGTACCGTATGCATCAGCAGTGGGAAGTTTAATGTTCGCTATGATATGCACAAGACCAGACATTGCACAAGCAGTGGGAGTGGTTAGTCGCTACATGGCAAATCCAGGCAAAGAGCATTGGAATATTGTAAAGAGGATCCTAAGATACATCAAAGGGACCTCAAATGTTGCATTATGTTACGGAGGATCAAACTTACTAATAAATGGGTATGTCGATTCTGACTATGCAGGAGATTTGGATAAAAGCAAATCTACTACAGGATATGTGTTCAAAGTTACTGGTGGAGCTATAAGCTGGGTTTCAAAATTACAGTCAGTTGTGGCTACATCCACAACAGAGGCAGAATATGTAGCAGCTACACAAGCCAGTAAAGAAGCAATTTGGTTGAAAATGCTATTGGAGGAGCTTGGGCACAATCAAAAGTTTGTCTCTCTATTTTGTGACAGTCAAAGTGCCTTGCATCTAGTAAGGAATCCAGCATTTCATTCAAGGACAAAGCACATAAGAGTTCAATACCATTTCATTCGTGAAAAGGTGGAAGAAGGGACGGTAGATATGCAGAAGATCCATACCAAAGACAATATAGCAGATTTCATGACGGAGGCAATCAACGCTGATAAATTTAGCTGGTGTCGATCCTCTTGTGGCCTGACAGAAACGTAAGCAACATGATGATACAAGGTAGAAAGAATGGTGTGAAGATATGATTGTTCCAATCAAATCTTCAAGTGGGAGATTGTTGACTAGCACCGAAAGGTGCATGGCCCCTTTTGTTGAAAATATAAAAAATGGGATAATTCAATTTAGTCACTAAATTTTAGGGTATTTACAAATTAGTCCTTAGGTTTCAACTATAAATATCCTAGCTCATTTAGCTTCAAAACCATCCCAAAAGCATTCTAACTTTCTTCCAATACTAGAGAGAATTTAGAGAGTTTATTGAGAGTTGTTTTTCTCCTTTTTTTATCAAGAGAGAATTATCATTGTTTTCTCCTTGGTCGATAGAGAGAAGTTGTAATTCCTATTTTCTCATAGTGAAATTCTTCTACCGTTGCCCATGGTTTTTACCCTAAATTTTTAGGAGTTTTCCACATAAATTTTGTGTCTCTTTTATCTTCATTTTTATTTTCTCAAATTATCAGTTGCGATTTTGCTCAATCAGATAGCCGTCTTACGCAACACACCCCTAGTCAAGGTCACGATTCTACCTTAGTTCGAAGGATTCGAGATGATGCAGAAAAGATGAACGTTTGTTCTCGACTTCATTCCAAGAGAAGCGAATAGGGTTGCCAACGCTCTTACTCGTAATGGTTTCTCGGGGCACATAGGCCTCACTGAATGGCAGAACCCGCCCTAGAACGTCAGTTCTTTGCTTCACGGCGATATGCAAACTGGGGGGGAAACCCCCAACAATATAGCTAAGCCTTTCATCATCTTCTAACAAAAAAAAAAAGAATTAAATTAAATTTTAAAATCAAATTCACATATCTGAAGAAAAAAATCATATTATATGAAAGGTCTTTAAAATAGCTGAAAATTCTGGATCACATCATTAATTTTCAATGAGAACTGGTGAGGGAGGAACGGTGGTGACAAATTGAAAGTACAAGGGATTAACAAATTGTTTTATAGTGATCAAAATCATTTTAATCGAACAGAATGAACATATTGAGTACTTGAAGTAAGTAGTGAGTGATAACTAAAAACATGTTTGATTATTAGTAAACTTCTAGTTATGAAATTAAAGAAAAGAAAAGATAAGCATAATTGAAGAGTTAAACAATTAACCCATGAGCATAATTGAAGAGTTAAACAATTAACCCATGATGCCGTCAGTTGGGAACAAAATTAACGAGAACAAGAATGGCAGAAGATCTACAGAAAGCAGAAGAGAATGGCGGCGGCCGCCTACGATTACGAGAACGATCCGAGATGGGCAGATTATTGGTCCGATATATTGATTCCTCCTCACATGGCATCTCGCTCCGATGTTGTCGATCATTTCAAGCGCAAGTTCTACCAGCGCTATATCGTATGTTTCTCGTCTTTCTTTTCAAAAAAATTGTTGTTAATTTTTGCGCTCTGGGTGTATTTAAGATTTTTCTTTCGTTTTTATATGAAATTTCAATCTGGGTTTCTTTCTGTTTTGTGCTTTTACCTCTTGTTTATTGTGGTTTGTGTTGGTATGTTCAAGAAGCTTGGAATTGAGAATTGGAGCTTTTGGTTTCTGGGTTTTCTTTCTCCTCAAATCTCCATTTTTGGGATTTTTGAATATATAGATGATTTATTGAGTTAATTATGGTTTTTCCTTTAAGAGCCATTATAGCTAGTTAAGGAAACAGCTGAAGAAGAAGAAGAAGAAGAGGTCATGTGTAATTGGGAAGTTTATTTATCTTGTTTACTGGGCCTTCTAATTAATGTCGCTCCCTGAGCTTTTATGAATTTGCCATTGGCTACTGACTGAGAAACATTGGAATGTGACCTTTTCGAATCATCCAGCAGTTGAAAGCAAGCCGAGTTTCTTATCTATTAAACATTTATAGTGAACTTGTCACCTTATAACAATGGCTACTTTCTTTTCACCTTATGAAAATGATGATCCAACCGCTTTCAGTCTGTATTTTCCCGAACACAAACAAGAGGAGGAATTTCAACTGCCTTTGCTAACCTGCATTTGTTTGACCGATTGATTTCTGGTTTTGCAATATACACATTTGGGCTGTTACAGGAAAACTATTTTTTGGATATTCGCTTTTGAAACAAAAAAACTAGGGGTAATGAACGTAGTCTTAATTGTTGAATTTATAAGATGGTCTACATGCTTGAAAAAATTGTTATAGGGATGCATATCCTATTTCCCTTGATGGAACTGGTCGTATCCTTTAATGTTGTTTATATGCAGTTTCTTTCAACTTTGTGGATTTTTATGGCTATATAAATATCTATAACATTCAAGTGCATTCATCTTCCCATAATATTATAGTATTGTTCCCTGAACAACTTGTAACTAATGATTTATGAGACCATGTTTCATGAACAGGATCCTGATCTTGCTGTAGAGGCTATGTCATCAGGGTCGCCATCCCGATCATCAAAACCATCTGCTTCATCGTCAACCTCATCAGCAGCAAATGACGGATCTCGGACACGCAATGCATGTAAAAACTCTTTTGTGCCAATGATGTTAGAGTACAGAAGCTAAAATTTGCAATAAACAACATAAATTAGCTGACCCTTATTCCCATATGTAATGGGGTAAGGGGAGGTAAGATAGTAGGCTGCTCCCAACACCAAGTTGAGAGCAGCTTCCGTGGGAGACCTCCAAATTATGAAATGCCCTCCGTGAGACTCGATCCCACAACATAAAATCGGATAATGTTGTTTATTTACTCGTCCATATTGATTGGTTGTTTCCTTCATTGAACTTGATCCTGAATTTGTGATTTAGGCTCAACCTCTAGAAGTTCAAGGGCATCAGCAACAGCTTCTATGCGTTGGGATCAACGAACAATACAATTTTCTGTCAATGCTTGGGTATACTACCTACCCCCACCCCTTTCTTTCTCCCACATTTGCATATTAGAAAGAAGACAAATAATGTCTCGAAATCTGATTTCGGTATTAGAAAATCAATTTTTAGATGGATCTTTATTGGTTTCGAGAGTTTCGTAAAAAATCAAATTGAGAAGGAACAATGAAATACTATTCTTGGAGTTCAAATCAAATGATTAATACTATTATCGGAGCCAAAATTAAAGTTTATTTAATATTATAATTTTTTTAAAATTCAATGGTAAAATTAATATAAATCCTAGAATTAAGTGATATATAATATAATTTATTAAGACATAATTGTTAGTGTACGTCGGATGAGTATTAATGTAATTGGCATCAACGTTCTGACTGGTGGATTTGGATGATGGGGCTTCAAGTTTTCTTTTTAGGAAGAGTAAATTAGATGAACAAGTGAATCTTCACTTCCATTGATTTCCATACATTAATTACTATAATTAAAGAGAAATTATTTGCATCATTTAATTAAAGGTATTTGTTATCAATATATGTATTGATTGAAGGCCAAATACTTTTTTTACTTCTATTTTCCTTTTTCAGAACTAGATTTTATAATAATATTCACTCAATGAATTACTCTATTTATTTATGGGAATTTCTCTTATTATCTGATTTTTTTTAATAAATTTGGTCAAATTCTAAAATCACACCCTAATTAATATTTTAAAGCAACCCTAATTAGGTAGGTTAAGCATAAGCACAACTGCTATATAAACAGAAAGCTACAAGCTACAAGCTACAAGGAAGCAACTAATAGCAGCAATCTAAAGCTCGGAGGTTCAAAATTTCCTGCAAAGACCATGGGTACGTACCATTAATTTATTTATTTCTTCGATATTTGTATATTCAATTTAGTTTCTCTATTACATGCATACATAATTTTGTTTTCTTTTAAAAACATCGTAATTTAAGATTGAAAAAGATATCATCGATACTAAAATTCTAATTCGTATAATTATTTTAAATTTTGCTAATTCGTTCCGATGAAAATAGGTATTCTTAAAACGTTGAGCCACAGTTGGTTGGGAAGACACTATGGTACATTGGCATCAGCTCTCATGGGAGTGATTGTGTTGGCGTTGGCAGCAATTGTAATTTGGAGTTCGATTAAAGAAGACAAAGCACGAGCGTCGCCACCGCCACCACAGGATACCCCAGAAGAACAAGAAGAAGAAAAGCCAATGGCTGAACCAAAAGAAGCAAAAGAAGAAGGAACAATGGCTGAACCATAGACATTATTATTATTACGATGATTAGTTCAAGTTTTTCTTTATATATATATTTGGATTATCAGTTCAATTATAAAATATAATGTTGGTTCTGATTAGAGTTATTTGAATATATTACATTATATTTAAACGAAAAAAATAGATGTGCTTAAAAAGTGATCCAAATCATGTAAATGCGATTTACGCAAATTATATCTCTCTCAGTGCAATTGGTATAGTTTTTGAAAAGTGATTTTTAAAAGTGTTGTAGAAATAAAATTTTAAAGATATTATACAAAATTGTACTTTAAAATTTAACTGTTTGAGATTGATGTTAAAAGTTGAGTTTGAAAATATAAAACGTCCGTTATAGACATCATGTTGTAAAATAAAAACACAACATTCAAATTATATTTACACTTATATATGAATCATATCAATTTAAACTATAATAAATTCAAAAAATTATTATCATATATGAATTATATATATTTGAAATAAAATAAGAATATAAAAAATACAAAAAAAATAATTATAATAAAACTATATTTTATATAACTCACTATTAATATTTAAATGAATAAATCACAAATTTTAATTATTTTTAAATAATTAAAATAAATATCTAAATTATTTTTTAAAGATGTTAATAATATATTATTAAAATAAAATATAAATAGATAATTGGGTGGAGCCCATGACATTTGTAAGAATAAAATTATAATTTTCTTCCAAATACAAAATTAAAAATTAAAAAACTAGAAATCCTACATTTTTACTGTTGGTTTGAAATAGTCGTTTTCATATAATTTTTTTATTTTTATCCGTTTAACATTGGTTTTACTAATCAAAATAAACTTTTTTCCTTAATCTTTTTATATATATTTTATATAAAACAACTTAAATTTAGTATTTATCTTTTTTTAAATAAAATAATTTAAAATTAATACTTGGAAAATCAAATGTACAAGAACCGAACATATTATTGAACAAAAAGTGTGTGTATATATATATATTATTTATGTTAATTAAATAAACTTAAGTGTGCAATAATAATGCCGTTAAGTTGATGTTAATTATTTTATTATTTTTTACAATATGAAATGATAAAATAATTACTGTCAATTTGAACCAATAGTTTGAGCTGAAAAAAAAACCTAGTTTAGGGGTTAAAATAATTTAATTAATAAAACTAAAGGGTCAAAAAGTGTCCTGTCGCACTAACCAATTTACCTCTTAAAAAACTTATTGTTGTCGTTAAATGTCACGAGTTTAAACACCAATTGAAAATGGCAGACGAATCGTCGCATTGAATCAAGTTGGTGAACTTCGTCTCCGAACAACAGGTAGCTTTATTTTTACCAATTTCTCATCCACTCCATTACTAAACCCTAGTCTGGTTTCGTTGATTATGATCAATATCTCGTTGTTTGGTGTTGATTATTGTCTGGCTTCGATAATGATGGCAGTTAGACGAGGCTAAAAGAACTAGAGGTGAACGAATTGAAGATGGAACTGCTCAAAGGGATAGGCCCTTGTAAGAGGTTTTTTTATTTATTTCTTGGTTCTTGCCCTAATGAATTCGCTCTTTTTTTTCTTCCCTTTTCTTTTCATTTTCTCCAATGAATCTCAAACAATTAATCGTTTTCTCTTTTTAATTTTGTTATCTAAACCATTTCTATGCATATTTTGAAGGAAAATAAAGACAAGAAAGATGCAGAGTTTAATGAACGGTTTAAACATAGTGAGTTTTTAAACTTTTCAGATTGCTGTTATTTGATGATGTAACTGTCTATGAGCTAAACCTTTGAACACTTTCTTCATTTGCAGGGCCACCTAAAGCTCTAGATGAAGACGAAACTGAGTTTCTTGATAAGTTGGAGAGGGTGAGCACTACTTTAATGAATGAATGCTATGGAAACTGTTGGAATTAGATAAATATGTTTGTTCTCTTTTGCAGTGATTGCAGATCGTTTTTCTCCTTTTGGTTGTAGTATTTATTCTTTATATTTACCATAATGTCGAAAAAATTGGTAGTTTCACCAAGTATAAGAGGCTTATAATGTCTGCGATCGTATACGCCGGTAAAGACGTGTGCATGTTAACTCATATAAATATTCTATTAGCCTAGGTGCTACCATTCCTGAATAGCTTAGTGTCATTTTTTTATGCTTTTCAATTTCTGATTTTCTTTTTCTTGTTAATGTAGTCGAGAAGGGAATATGAACGACAAGTAGCAGATGAGGAAGCTGAGCAGTTGCGAACTTTCCAAGTAATTTTCTACCCACTAACTAGTGACATTTGTGATTTATAGCTATGAAAATATTATTAGAAAAGAAGTATCTGCAACCGTGTTGTGCTTGACTGATCTGGCCTTTACCTCCACAGTAATTATTTGAAGTCCGTTGTTTTATTTTGAATTCTCAGTTACGTATCTTAATTTAATGGTAGAACTGCCGATTTACAATTATTTTGAATTTACAAGAATAATTGTTTGATTCTTAAAGACAAGTTATTTGTATTATTTCAAACACACCATATTCAACAGAAGATTCCTGCAATTATATCTACTTTTCAATCATTAGATTCAAGAAATCATGTCGATAAAGACTGAATATTTGATGTGGATAGTCATTTAAAAACTATTTTCATTATCATGTAGTGCATTGTTTGTTTAAGGTGCTAAGTTGTAGTCTCTGAGAATTACAAAGGATCATATATTATTAGTTTTCTAATAGCTGTTACTATAGCAGCAATCTGCTGCTACTATCTTGCTAGATGAAAAGTTTCTTGAGCAGCGTTTGAGTAGTTGTATTACTTGTTTAGCTTAGCCATATGTATATTTGTATTTTGTAGAACCAATTCCAATTTTGTTTTACATTTTATTTCATCCGAGACGCCGGTGTTTGTTTCTTTTTCAGGCAGCTGTTGCAGCACAGTCCAATATCGTGCTTGAAGTAAAAGAAACGTTGGCAGTTCCTGCAAGCCAGGTTGGTTTCAGATCAATTAGTAACATGGTTGCACTTTTTATAATGAACTTTATGGTTTGGACCTTAACCACACCTTGAATTGACAGAGCTTTTATCATGCCATATGATTCGGTAATTAGTTTTGGAGTATTTCGGATTTCATTTCCATGTAATCTAGTTGATTGCAACCTTTGTTTCCTACGACATTAAGTTGATTACTTTTTGCATCGTTGCTTGAAATAAATAACAATAGTGTGTCTTCTAATTGATTGTGAAACCAGTGACAATGGAGGCTCGTAACCAAGTGATTAGCCTCTTCAGCTTTTAATCGGCTCTTGTTTCTGCTTGCAGGAGCAAAAATTAGCTGGGAAGGAGAATCCAGCGACTCGGCCACTAGGCATGACCATAAAAGTGAAGCCACAGGCAAAAAGGGCCAAAACCGAGCCCGGTGAAAAACTAGTAAAAGCACCCGGCGCTGATAATGTGAAATCATCCGAAGGTGATCCCAATAAGTCTCTTAGGTGGCGTTTGGTTGGATGGAATCCCTTGGAATTGGTGGGAATTAGAATCCAATTCCACAACTTTCCCATGTTTAGTTCAAGTTTTTCAAGAGAATTGGAATATCTGATGGAATTCAATTCCATCAAATGAGGGAAAGTAAATTCCATCCAAAAATTGATGAAATTCAATTCCCTTGTTGGAGGGAATTGAAATTTGACCATACTACCCTAATCAATCATTTGGTAATTTATTTATATATTGAATAAAAAATATTTTTTTATTATTTCGGGTCGGGTCTATAATTCATATATTCGGGTCGGGTCGGGTGAAACTTTATTTTGGCCGGGTCGGATCGGGTTTTTTTAAGTGTGATATTCGGGTCGGGTCGGATTCGTGTTTAGGGTGAAAAAAATCGGACCGACCCGAAAATATATATAATTCAGGTTGGGTCGGATTAAGTCACTGTTTTTATTAAATAAAAATAATTTTTTATTATTTCGGGTCGGGTCGGGTTGGATTTCTAATTTATATATTCGGGTCAGGTCGGATGAAACTTTATTTTGTTCGGGTCGGGTTGGGTTTTTTAAGTGTGATATTCGGGTCGAGTCAGGTCGGGTGTTTTTAAGTTTGATATTCTGGTCGGGTCAGATGAAACTTTATTTTGTTTGGGTCGGGTCGAGTTTTTTAAGTGTGATATTCGGGTTGAGTCGGGTCGGGTTTTTTAAAGTGTGCTATTTGGGTCGGGTCGGGTTTAGGGTGAAAAAACCGGACCGACCCGAAAATATATATAATTCGGGTCGGGTCGGATTAAGTTACTGTTTTTATTAAATAATTTTTTTTATTTCGGTTCGGATTTCTAATTCATATATTTGGGTCTGGTCGGATGAAACTTTATTTTGTTCGGGTCGGGTTTTTTAAGTTTGATATTCGGGTCAAGTCGGATCGGATTTTTTAAGTGTGATATTCGGGTCGGGTTCGGGTTTAGGGTGAAAAAAATCAGACCGACCCAAAAAAAATATATATAATTTTACCTTATATATTTAGGAATAATTAAAATAATACCCCTATATATAATTTTTTTCAATTAAGTCAATGTTTTTATTGAATAAAAATATTTTTTTTATTATTTTGAGTCGTGTCGGGTCGAGTTTCTAATTTATATATTAAATAAAAATAGTTTTTGGTATATTTTTTTGTAACTAATTAACATACTCCGATTAGAATGTATCGAAATATTGTTCTATCTTTTGGTAACTTATTAACATATTTTGATTGCGATGATTTTAACTTATAATGTTTATTAGCATAATTTTTATAATTTATTAAAATGAATAATCAATCAATAAAATAAAATTTTCATATTTTTTAATTTTTTATAATGTATTACTACATGTAAGTTGTAAAATAAACTAAAATAAAACAAAAAAAATAAGAAGGGCAATTATATCATTTTACATTACTGAAATCAAATTTATCTTACATGTTTGCGAACTAAACAGAATATGGAATTTGATTCCAATTCCATTTCCTACCAACCAAATAGAATATGAAATTGGATTCTAATTCCTACAGATTCCAATTCCTTTATAGATTCCAATTCCCTCATAAATATTCCAGCGAACCAATCACCGCCTTAATGTTGCCAAGACAAGTCTTGTTTCATATAGTGATGAAAGTGAAGATGATTAAGAACTAAGCATGCCAATCTTGTAAATCGTATCTAAAACTGTAATGGTTTTAAATCCAAATTATTATGCATCGAGTTTGTATTATTAGTTAATCAAATGTTAATTCAGTTGGTTTTATTAGTTAAGGACAAAACAGTTTATTTCAGTTTAATGATTCATTATTGTTATGCCATATTTAGGTTAATTTGACAATAAAAAAAAGTCATAAGAAATGAAATAAAGGTTAAAGGTTAAAATTACTAAATTAATAAGTCGTAGGGATAAAAATATTATGAGAAAATAACCTCATCGACCAAAAATGCCTTATAATATACGATTTTAATTAATTTTTTTTGGATTGCAATCGATAATTCGCAACGCGATCTCCGGTATCGCAAATCAGTTTCCAGATTCGCAACGCGAACTTCGACTATCGTAATGCGAACTAACTTGGACTATCGCAATGTGAACTTAGACTATCGCAATGCGAATATGTAAATCGCAATGCGATAGTCGGCTATCGCAATGCGAACTTTATTGCATTTGTTTCTTAAGAATTTTCTCTAAAAAGATAGTATTCGCGCGGGCGTGTCGAAGATACGTATTACCACGACCACGACCCGAGACGAGACGGACGGCGGCGGCGGCGCGCGAGAGTCCCCCTTATTCTCTATCACTCAACAAGGAAGTGGGAAAGTCAAGCCTTAAATATCATTCCCAATAGTGTTTCCAATACTATGTGGGATTGAGCATTACCAACACTTGTTTCCAATACAATGTGATTATTCAGGAAACAATTAACAAGCATGCACCTTAAAACAACTGAATCAGCAACCAATTGCATTAGTATTATACGATTAAATATGTCATAATTAAATGTCAATCTACAATCAATCGCGATTATTGCAATTTTAAGAAAAACATTCCAAAATAATATCACTATTTAAGGCTCAATCCCATATAGTATTGGGAACAAGTATTGGTAATGCTCAATCCCACATAGTATTAGAAACACTATTGGGAATGGTATTTAAGGCTTGGCTTTCCACTTCCTTGTTGAGTGATAGAGAACAAGGGGGACTCTCGCGCGCGCCGCCGCCGCCGTCCGTCTCGTGGTCGTGGTCGTGGTCGTGGTCGTGGTCGTGGTAATACGTGTCTTTGACACGTCCGCGCGAATACTATCTTTTTAGAGAAAATTCTTAAGAAACAAATGCAATATCGTCGTTGCGATTTTGGACTATCGCAACGCGAACTTGGACTATCGCAATGCGAATATGTAAATCGCAATGCGATAGTCGAAGTTCGCGTTGCGAATCTGGAAACTGATTTACGACTCCGGAGATCGCGTTGCGAATTATCGATCGCATTGCGATTTAGTTGGTCATTTTGGCAAATCCAAAAAAAGTTGATTAAAATCGTATATTATAAGGCATTTTTTGTCACTGATGTTATTTTCTCAAATATTATTTAACTTATATTTTTTTTCTACATAAAATTCATTCAAATCACGGGTGTGAGAAATATCTTCATATACTTTTGAAACGTTATCAAGATTGAAGCAAGAAGGTCCGTATACGAATCAAAAGTTTAGCGAATCGTTTGATGGGAAGTTTGTTTACTAAATGAACGAATATGAACAAGATTTTATATTCGTTTAATTAAAAGAATGAACATGAACAAATGACTCGTTTGTTCATTAACATTCGTGAACGTTTCGTAATTCGTTTATTTATTTGTGTTTGTTTATTTATGTTTATTTATAATCAATTCAATCTACAGATCCGTTTAAAATAGTATGACATAATAAATTTGACCCTTAAACCCATTAATATTTTAAAATACAATTAATTTTAAACTCAAATAAAAAATATCCTTATCAACTAAAGAAAATATAAGCCCTAAATTATTTGAAAAACAAACAAACTTTTCTCAAGAATAAACCCAAAAATTAATTTTAAGTTCGTTCTTTTATGGTTGTTTAAGTTCATTTATGTTCGTTTAGTTGTTCGTGTTCGTTTGTTTGTTTGATTAATGTTAAACGAAAAACATGAACATATCTCAATTCATATTCATTCGATTCGTTTACAGGACTAAAAAACAGGTGATGGTCAACCACAAGTCCACAACCTAACATTAAAGCTGGTTATAAGTTCAAAATGTTTATGTATAGCACATGGGTGAAATAATAAGTTTTTTTGATAAATTTTATTAAATTTTGTAGACGCCTTATTTCGACCATATCATATAATGAATATATTACATAATAATATATATATATATATACTTTTTCATTTTATTTTACAGGACCAAATAAATACACAACAGCCCACTCGGCCCACTTGTGTTCGACCCAGTAACAAACCCTAAGGCAAATTAGGGTTCCTGATGTCTCAGCAGCTTTCCATCTCTCACCCCAGCGCCGCATGGTCAACAGTCCACGTCCAAGAGTCCCGCGGCCGAATCCCTCGGTCAATAACCCTCACCAATGTCTGAGTTTCACGGTCACACGCAACGATCCCGAAACGTCTGGCAACACCAACAACCCACGAAGATAACCAAGTTAGAATAAGACTCAAATGTTTAGCAAATCCTAGGCTATAAATAACGTATGTAATCAACACATAAAGGGGGATTTTTGGTTTTTTACAGAGGATTCACGTAGGAGTACAGAAGAAAACACATGAAAAACTAGCAGATCTCTTGTAAATTTCGAAACAGAAATAAATAAAAGGTATCGCTTTTACCTTTGTTTTTTTATTCGGAAAAGGTCCTATTTCAATCCTGAATTCATTTCAATTCGACCCGTAATCTATATTCTCTTTTAATTTGGGAACCTAACTTTGTCTGCAATTCAATTTGACCCTTATGACATTAGTTCTATCAGTTTATTATTTATTTTTCATATATATATATATACACGTATATTTTATTAGTCTATATATGGTTATTTTATTTGATGATTTCTTTATTTAAATACCATACTTTATATTTATGTATATATACGTATTTATTTATATATTTTGTTCTTACTGTTTTTCTACGTTTCTATCATTATTATATTTCATTTTCATTATTTTATTCCTATACTTTTATTAATATTTGTTTCGCCCAATATTTAATCATTTAGTATTAATATTGTTAAATACACATATACTTTCATTTATCTTATTTATTTATTTTATTTAATGTAAGCTATTGCTTTATATTTTTTTCCTATTCTAACACTTATATATGTATGTATATATTTTTGTTATTTTCATTTCTATTTGCTTTCCATCCTTATTTTTCCTTTATATTTGTTTAATTAAATCTAACATTTTTTTAGAGTACATTTTCAACCGATCAATGGTAAGTTTTGAATCGTTATTTTACCTTTTAATTTAAAATTACAATTTTCTTAATTAAAGACAACTGAAAATTATATAGTACCGGAAGGGCAGTTCAAGGGTGCTAACCCTTCCTTGACTGTAACCGACTCCCGAATCCGACACATCTATGGCACGATGCAGATCAGATAAGAAATTAGGTATCCGATCTACCCATTTATTTTTAAATAAATGATCGGTGACGACTCCAATCTATATTTTTCACGTCGAAGCCCAATCCCGGGGCCCAACCGAAAGACGGTTACGACAAATTTAAATAGATTTGTCAACAAAATCATTAATATACAATTTATATCTTGTTAACAATTCATGGATTGAGTTATTGGACAAAAAATTTCAGCTTTGGCATAAAATTTAAATAATTTTTATATTTCAAAAATATATTTATATTTAAATTTAATAATAATAATAATAATAATATATATAGATATTAATATAATTTTTTTATTGAAATAATAATAACAATCAAAGAAAATTTTCTTTTATTTCTTTTTCTTTTTTATCTCTATGAAAGCATAGGGTTAAGGTTTAATTTGTTATATATATATATAAGGTTTAATTTGTTATATATATATATATAATATATATATATAAAATGTTTAATTTGTTTAGGCCTTTGGGCTTTTATACAGCACCTAAAAGCACAGAGCCACAGAGCAAATGCGCAAAGCTTCAAAGGCTGGCTTGCACGCCTATCACTCGCCATTGTACGGTTTACACCATTTTTCTCTCAGATTTGTTTTAATTTTACGTTCACTTTGCACTCAAGAGGAGAACGAAAAAAAGAAAGAAGTAAACGTGGTTGCAAAACTCTCAACGGGCATGGCCTCAACCGAGAACTCCAGATCTTCAACCGCGGGGTCTCCTGATTCATATATAGGCAGCTTTATAAGCTTGACGTCTAAGTCTGAAATCCGATATGAAGGCGTTCTGTTTAATATCAACACCGAAGAATCCAGCATCGGCCTGAGAAATGGTAAAGAAATTTTTGAAAATAGCTTTCCTTTTTTTTTCTGGGATTTATTTAATTTTTCTTCGGGGTTGTTTTTTTCTATATATTTGAGCTCTATAATGGATTTTTTTTGTGGGTTTTCTTCGTTAAGGTGAAATTTTCTGTCTTGACTAGTTAATGCGAGGTCTGATTTGGTGATGCCTCGAACAGTTCGCTTTTATATATATATAAAGGTTTGCAAGTGAGATAAATGTTGAATGTTTAAACAATTGGTGTTAGTTGAGCAAGTCACTGGACTAAATATCCAGAGGCCTTGATTGTAGGGGGGGAAAGTCAAATCTAGAGATGCACACAGTGAAAATAGCTGATAATTTGTTTTCTGATGAACTTTCAAACATCTGTTTCATATCTCAACTTGTAGGACCTGTGAAACGTGAATAAATTATTCATATTGTTGTCTACCAACTAAAAGTTCATACATATAGCAGTATTTCCTGTATTTTTAACATAACATCTGTATAACACATCAAAGTTTTACATTTTATTTCTCTCTACACAACCATGCTCCTGCGATTAAGTTGGAATTGCACAATTTAGCAATAATAATGGGTTTTGAATTGTTAAGGACTGACTAAAATGTTTTGTACAAGTAGTTACTGATTGTATAAAGAACATCGATGTTTGTTGGAAATTTAATTATAAAAAAAAAGAGGATAATAAATGGAAGAGCTACATATTAGTATTTACATGGATTGCTGCAATAGAATGAATATGGAAAGTGAACATTGTGGCTTACCCCACTAGAAAAGAATCTGTTATGAAATGTATGCATCTATATAATATCGCCTCATTCATACTAGATAGAGAGGAGTATGGCTGTCAGGGCTTCAAATGTTAGTCTTGCTGCTTCGAATATTATTGCCGTGCTTGTGGTTAAGAAAGACCTATTCTATATTTTAGTGACTCTTCTTGTACCCTTGGGGTTTTAAGATGCAACTATGTCCTTTTAAATAATGTTTGTTCCTTTAACATTTTAGTAAGGTCATTTGGGACGGAAGGGCGAAAAAAAGACGGTCCACAAGTTCCAGCAAGTGATAAAATTTATGAGTATATACTCTTCCGTGGAAGTGACATCAAGGTATTCCGAATATTATTTGAACTAATGTACATTGCTAGAGCTATTATCTACCTTTTCAATTATGAAGTTTTGCTTTCCGCCATTGGTCATGGACAAAGAATTGGACTCCGAATTTGAATTTTGGTTGTAGAAGGCTGTTTCTGAGGAAATGTTGAATTGATGTAGTGTAGTGAAGGCGTTTCTATGATTGCAAATATCTTCTGCTTCAGTTATGGTGTCATAAGTTGTTTATTTACTATCTACACTTGGGCCAAGCAAGGCTATGATTGCTTAAAAATTTGTTAGAAGTTCCTTTTGGTCCATTCCGAAATACTTACTGTGTTTTTCTTGGTGTTTTAATTCATTCGAGAAAAACTATTTTACTTGAACAATCTTTATGAAATACAATTCAACTTTTATCGTCTTTCTTCCATTTTAACTGTGGCATTATGTAGCCACAATGCAATTGCTCCAACAATTTTGAGCATTGTCCTCCTTGGAAAGAGGAGATTTCTGGGTAGAATTGACCTTTTGATGCTATGGTGCATAGTTGTTGCACGTGTAATATCTCAGCAGCCATTAATATATGGTTTCACCATGGCATTGATTAAAAATATGCTGTTTTATAAGCTTTTGGCTTTCATTTTACCAAGGTTCATGAAATTCAGCCAATTTGGTATATTAATGCCAAAGAATGCCATAGGATTGCTACTGAGATGTTCCTGGAGCTCAATCTGGTTAGCAGTCTAAGGTTTTGTTACACCATTTATATCTAATATGGATTTTTTACAAGTGAACACATAAGTAAAATTAATTTGTTCTGTCCAAGTTTATGGTGTTATTGAAAGTTGTAATTATGCTACGAGGATAGAGTGTAGATTTCACACTACTAAATATGGACAAAGGAAAAAAGTTTTTCCTGCCCTAAAGCATTTTAATTTAGATGCTTCGTTTTCCTAGATTACAATTTGGTACCATATTCTTTTAGTGAATATAGAAAATCCCTTGTTTATTCATGCCTTGTCTTCTTTTCTTGTTCTGCATTTGTTTTTTTAGGACTTGCAGGTTAAATCATCTCCACCAGTTCCAACCCCGACACCTATACACAATGATCCTGCTATTATACAGGTAGATAAAAGAAAATGGTTTTATTCTCTCATTTCTCCATTTTCCTCTGTTTCTCCCCCCCTTTTCCTGGATATCCCTCTAAATTCTGTTTTCCCCATCCTTCCCACCCGTGTGCGTCACTTTTCTTAACAATGTATTTTCTGCTAAGATGCATAGATGTGCATAATCAACTTAAATTTGGACAAAAGCTTTCAGTTTCAAATAGCATTACAAATTTGCATTTTGAGAATCCAATTCTATAATTTTCAAGCTTCAATTTAGATACATCTGTATTAGTCAACTTGTCTGACATCTGTTGGGTTCTCTTCTTCTGCAGTCTCACTATCCCCAGTCTGCAATTGCATCCGGCAGCTTTCCTTCTGCTTCAAGCTCTATACAAGATCCAGGTTCCCAAACTTCGTCTATAGGACTCACAAGGCCAACATTTCAAGGCAATCTTCCATTATATCAAGCTGGTGCAAGTTTAGGGCCATGGGGTTCATCAACTGCTCCAAATGCAAACAGTGGGCTTTCCATGCCTATGTACTGGCAAGGTTACTACGGATCTGCAAATGGTCTTCCTCCACAGCAGCAAACTTTGCTCCAACCCCCACCTGGCTTATCAATGCCATCTCCCATGCAGCAATCTATGCAATATCCAGCTATGAATGCATCTTTACCTACTGCAGCTTCTAACATGCCAGGTTCTCAGTTACCTGAAAACTCTTCTCTTTTGCTGCCACCCTTTGGTTTTGGCCCCATGAATTTGCAATCTTCTGTTCTTCCAGCACAGTCTTCTAACTTAATTTCAGACTCATTAACTACTTTGAATCAAGATAGGGCTTCTTCTTTACCTCTTCCTACTGCAGCTCCAAGTAGTAGCCTGCCATTGGTTCCTCCATCAAGTACTGCTTTAGATAAAAGTTCTGTAATGTTATCTTTTTCTGAAAAACCAAAGACAGTCCCTGATCATGTGATGCCATTCAAAGGCATGCCTGAGTCTGCTTCCTCCACCTCAGGGACAAGTTCAGTTTTAAATGATGGAATGCTTCCTTCTTTAGTAACCGGGGGCCAGCTTTTACAACCTGGACTGGTCACATCATCTTTGTCTATGTCTTCTCAAACAGCACAAAAGGATGTGGAGGTTGTTCACGTGTCATCTCCAGAATTGACATCAGCCCCTGCACTAGCACTTGTACCTGCAAAAACATCACAACCTGTGTTAGGACAAGCACCACAATCATTGTCAGCACAGGCATCACCACCATTATTAGCACAACCGCCAAAAACAGAAGGCCAGGAACCTATATTGCCTTCACCTTCACCTTCACCCTCTGATCATAAGGTATTGCTTTTGTTTTGCAAAATGAAAGGGCTGTAAAATCTGAGGAACTTTGGTCCTGTGACATTTAGTGTTTTTCTTTTTTCCTTTTTTTTTGAGAGGGTTAGTGAGGATCATGGAACACATCTTTTATCCTGTGTTCCATTTCCTACCCCCACCTTCAAGGCATACGATTTACAACATGATTTTTCCCTACTGTTTAAAAAGATTAATTTAATGGAAATTGATACTAAAAGTTGTAATACTTGGGGCATGTTAAACAATATTGAAGCATTGCTATAAAGTTCTTCAAACTTGAAAGCATTCATATCATAGACAGTGTGCAAAAGATTGTTTTTGTGGACACAGAAAGAAGTATTCAGTGTCTTTTACTATTAAATTCCTATTTCCTTACTCTTAAAGGGGAAAAGATGGAGATAAAACAGGGATTTGTTGCATTCCAAGCTTCTGAAAGTAAATCATTCCCCTAGAAAATTTGGTTTTAGACTTCAGATGATTATATCTCTATAACTAACGGACATGTGATTTTCAGATTTGGAAATTACTGTGTGCTTTAGTTCAGAGTGTTCGGTTCCTGTTAGTCTCCTCTAACTGAAAGAACCCCACTTTTTGACAGAAATCTTACTATCATGGTGATTTGGTGCAACTGATTTGATGTTGCTAGGATCTTAAAATGAATTTCAAACTACAGACCTCTCCCAAACAATGTGGCTAAGTTCCTAATAATTTTTTAATTTCATTGAATTTAGAAATGTTTTCCCTTGAGTAATGTATAATCTATTACACTTGCTGACTAGCGTAGTCAATTTGTCTCTTGTTTCCTTTTGACAGATGAGGAACTGTATTACCAGATTTCTTTAGTTGTGGCCGGTTTTACCATTTACTATTAATGGCTATAGTCTTTTAAATAGTTAGGATGCATACTTGTATGTAGTGATATATCGGCTTGAAATGGTTACATGCACTTTTACCCCCTTTTTGATGTATTTTCTGCTGGTTATTGCGACCCTCCTAGCTACATGGAGCTCCAATGCACATTTATCATGGTTATAGAGGAGGGAGAGGTAGAGGAAGAGGAGGAAAAGAGGTTCGTTTTCTGTTTCTTTGATTTACCAGATTGTCATTTATGATGCTAATTTTTCAAGCCCCGGAATTAGCCAACTTCGTGTCTGTAATGAAGAATGCATTCAATAGTAGTTTCAAAAAGTTCTGAATAACATTCAATGACTTAAAAAAACTGATTGACATTTGTGTAGAGGACTATTTGTTTCTAAATAACATTTACCGTAAGCAGATAATACCTTCTTCACCCCAAAGCAATTGAGCTGAACTTTCAGTATTTCGAAACATGAATAATTTGACTGAACCATTGTCCCTATACCCCCCCTTTTTTTAGAAAAGAAAAAACTTGATTACCCCTACCTTCCATGTTTCGTAATTCAAACCTTGCGTCTTGCAACAAAAAAATAAATAAACTTGTTTGGTTCGTTTTTGAAAAATGAAATTCTATACTAATCTTCACCAAAATGCTTTGGGATGATACCCTTGGATATTCTTGAACATATGGAATTGATGCATAAGAGCTTATGCTTCTCTGACACTTCTAGTCTGTGTGAGACTGCCTACAAGCATGTGTGGTGTTCTCCAGATTTCATGGCATCATTTCAATCAGTTTAGGTTTATATCAGTCTAAAGGTTGCGATAAAACATACAATTAAAATATATATATTTTTTGTGTAACTTTATGATGTAATCTTATTGCAGTATCGTTGTGGGAATTAAATGATCATGACATGTAATTTTTAAGTTCTATGTATCATATAATGTTTATTTTCTAATTGTAGAAATTCCAAAAATTGCATTTAAAAGAAAAGTCAAAAGGCTTAAACAATTTTAATTTACTTTGCCCTTCAAGGAAATGATACTACCAACTAAACCCTCCTCCCTAGGAAAATGCTCATTCGAAAAATATCGCTTATTGCTTGACAAATTGTTTAAGCGCTATACTCTATTGGTCTTTGCTTTGCCAACCATGTTGTACTTGCAAGACTTATGACCTTTGTGTAGTCCAATGATTATAGATTGTTTGTAATGTCAACATTTTGCACTGCAGATTGCACTTTCGGCAACCAAATTTACAGAAGAATTTGACTTCACTGCAATGAACGAGAAATTTAATAAGGATGAAGTTTGGGGCCATCTTGGCAAAAGCAGCCGAGCTCAGGAAGATGCTGATGATTTACAAAATGAAGATAGTGTTGAATCGTCGGAAGTAGAAGTTAAGGTAAGAGCTCCCAGCATACTTGCTTGCCAGTTCAGTTTCCATACTTTAGTTCATAAATTTCTCTCAGTGCTGTTAGTTTTCCTTCTTTTGCAGCCTGTATATGTCAAGGATGATTTTTTTGATTCCTTGTCCTGTGATTCTCTTGGTGGTGGGTTTCGTGGTGGGAGGACTAGATTTTCAGAACAAATGAGAAGAGATACAGAGGTACTATATTCCATCGCATTATTCACATCATGAGTATTTAAATGTATGTATGCATGCATGCATGTATATTTCCGGATTAAAAATAATCTTACAACTGCTTACTCTTGGCACTAGAATCTTATATCTGCAGAGGTCCAAGATGCAATAAAAAAAAGTGCTTGCTTGCTGAAGGCACGATACATATATGCGTCTATAAATCTAAAATAAGATATAGCATTATGTTTATGAACTCTAAAGAATGTTATGGTTGGTTGTAGGAACAATGCAAAATTTTCTTTTTCTTTTGTTGATCATGTTGGTTTTTCTACATTACCGTATCCTTGTTATATATGCATTGGGAAGTAAATAGAACACTTAAAATAAAAGAAATTCAAGAGAATATCTATCGAGCTTTCTTTTTTCTGGCACCTACTTAAGAAAAACGCGTCTAGGGACACTAGGCATGTATCGAAGCAAATGCACTTCATCTGAAAGGAAAAGAGATGCGTTTAGGCATATGTGCTTGTTTAGAAATGACAAGTTCAATGTTGAAGATGAGGGAATTGGAACTTGGACTTTGACCAAATAAGTTACACAAGTAAAAACAATCATTGTTATGGCTTCTTGGCTTTCGATGGATTTTGCATAAACCTCTGGCCTAGCATTTCATGATGTGTTCGTTTCTTCACACCATCATGATATCGTATTCTCGACTTATACTCTCTTTACAATATCTATATAGACCTTTGGCGATTTCCCAAGGCATCGTGGCGGTAGAGGCGGCCGCGGACCTTTCCATGGTGGTCGAGCACGCAGTTCTTATTATGGAAGAGGCGGCTATGGTTATGGAGGGAGAGGTAGGGGATATGGCGCGGAGAATCGTGCCAACTAGTTAGCAGCTGGAATCGAGTACAATTAGTAGATCAAACTGTTAGCATAAACGTATCAACGTATGTGCCCATCAAATGAAGATTGGTCTTTGATTGTACTCCTATAATGGTACCTGCTTTAGGATTCAGACTACCGACCTAAAGAAATAAAAAAAAAAAACAATCCAGAAGAGGAGAGAGATTTCCATTGCACTGCTACATTATAAAGGCTTTGAATGATTGGCTTGTGAGGGTCATTTGATACGTAAACCCTGTGTTCTTTTATAACGGTATTCTGTATTATGTGAATTCCAGTTTTAATTACACGTTAAAGATTTTATTTAATGGAAGACTATTACGGGCCAAGGCTTTGTCTAGTTGAATGCATTCTTGATTTGAAATGTATTAAGATTTGATAATTATTTGTATAATAGAGCACTGTTTAGTTAGACTATCATTAAGAAACAAAATAAATAAATAAATATATGTGGCAGGATTCGTTTACTCGAAAAAGTTTATATTTTTTCTAAGATCATAGGATGAATGAAAATAAACGATTAAGATTAATAGTAAAAAATAAGAAAATACTAAAAAAGAAAGAAAGTAATTTTAACTTTCCATTTTCAATACCCTGGTTATCTTGCAAATACGTATAATTAAAGTTTATACTATGTATAGATATATCCTAACCTTAGATATATATTTTTGATATTTAAACTTGGTTTTAAATACTTAAACTTCACTCTTGGTTTAAATGTGTACTTGTAATACTTAAAATTTTGTACTTGTAATAAATAACTTATTTGATTCATGAATCAAGTTTAAATATCCAATTGCATAAAAAGGGTTTAGATACTGACTAGAATATTGAGGCCAGATTAAAGTATCCAATTAGATTAAAAAATCAAAGCTTAATATAAAAATAAGTGTTGAAATTATACAGTTTTCCCAAAGTGGTGTATAAACTTTTTCGGTCAATACAAGTGCCTAACGTTACAAACATAATCACTTTAGATGTCTCGACCGTAACAACCGTTAAAATATTTCGTTAAGTGATATGTGTTGAATTATGGTAATTTTAAAATTTTTATTTAAAATTTTAAAAAACTTCAAATATTTTTTTATTAAAAAGCTTAAAATTTTTGGAAATCTTAAAAACTAGGTTTGAAAATCTTAATTTCAGTCTTATATCCATGCCGATCGCCACTTTTATCGCTGTTGTCATAGACTGAACCCCTGGACGCACCTCCACTCGGAAGGTAAGTTCAAGGTTAGTAATTTTAAGGTTGATTACGGGATTTGGATTTTTTTATATAATTTTGGAAAAATTATTTTACTTAAAATATAATAATATTTTAATTTTTTATTTTAAAATAATAATATTTGTAATGTTAAGAATATATATTAACCGGAAAAAATTTGAACACCACTAAAAATATATCGTTTGATATTTCTTTTTATATTAAGCCAAAAATAAAAAAAAAAATGGTTGTCACTTATTTCCATATATAATGGAGTAAACTACCCCTAACACCAGGTTGAGAGCAGCTTCTGTAAAAAATCTCCGAATTATGAAATACCCTCCGTGAGACTCGATCCCACGACCTCAAGGTTAAGAACCTTGTGCTCTACCAACTGAGCTGGATAGTCATCTCTTTTCTTTTCTTTTCGAGTGTCATTAGTTTATTCTTGCATAATACAATTTAATTTCCTAAATTTCCAAGCTAAGCAAAGCCTACATACACTATTGTTCCCCTCCCCCCCCCCCAATATTCTACCTTGCCAAAATAGAAAGAAAAAGAATATCCTATTGTCCAGGCATTCTTGCGTAGCAAGAAAATTCATCAAATTTCCAATAAAATCACCCTTTGATACCTCAAGGAAAGAACAATAACAAACCAAAGCTTACTACAACATATGAGATCAGATCAATTCTGCCCGGAGAGGCGGACGGTTCGCACTCTTCACTGAGTCAGTTTACGAGAAAACGAAAAGTAACACCAGAAAACCATAGCCTATAGCCTTATTCCAAGAAAGAAAAAAAAGACGATAAGAAAAGAGAACATCTCTGACAAAATTTCTCTCCTTATTGTTCTGTTTCGACTGACCAAAATGATGGTCTACAACACGAGCAAAATTGTTGAGAATCCTCTGCAATACATTTACGAGCCGTTTCGAACTAGGACCACAGGTGTTCTCTTCTATATTCTCTCACTATCACGGGCACACCTGTTGGAGGAATCTAAAACAAGACAAGCCAGCTAATTGATTTACAAACTACTTGCAGCAAAACTAAGGGATTTATGTGCAAATGGTTTTTTTATCGTGTTGCGTTTACAATGTTTGCAGACATAACGAATATTACAGCATTTTGCAGTAAATAAAGACGGCCAAAACCGCAAAAATAGAAACCGTAATATCGTGTTGCAGCTGCTATTTAAATCCCAGACAAATGATTACGGCTAATAGACAGGCTAGGAAGGAAAAATACCGACTTGAAAATATTCCGTGCTTCTAAATAATGATACCCTACTAAGTTTTCCTTAACTAAGTTTTAATCCAATTATGTTTCTTTTCGAACAATCGAACTAAAAGAAGCGTTATAAAATCAAAACTTACCATGCCATAATCCGTGATTATCATGGAGACGTAATCTGATGGTGTAGCATCGTAACCGTCAACAGAAAAGTTTATAATCATCAGCTCTTAGAATACAGGCATAGTTCCACATTTATCAAACTATAAACACTTGCACTAAATTCAGAAGCTGCAATTTTTCTTGATTGACAAAACCATCTTAGTAGTTGATATCCTCTCTGCCATGAACCTTTGAAATGGCTTCTGGGTTACCTGCAACAGATGCCTAAACCACATCAATTTAAGTGATCAAAATGACGAATCAAGTCTAGATCAAGCAAAAGTTGACACCAAAATCTATATCCGGAAATGACTACCAAGCTCATTAAAACATATTGAATCAAGCTGCACCCTTTCATGAAATTTATTTGCTTCACAACACACTAATACCGGTACATGGAATGCGTGAGCAACCATAGCAACACAAGCAGTTCCAACCCTTGAGTAAACTGTTCCATTAGACAAGACTGATGAAGCACCCAGAAATACGTGATTAACCTCTTGCATGATACAAGAAACAGCATTTACATGAGTGTATGTACAGCTAAGGCCCTTCCTCACCAACCTCCATACTAAGAGTTGTCCTTCAAGCTTTGGACGAGAGTCAACCACTACAACACGGAATTGTTTGCCAAGTTCATGGGCATGCAATAAAATCATCTCAACTGCAGAGGATGCACCATATGTGAGAAGAACGTCACCATCTCGAATCTTTGTAACAGCATGTTTGACTATCACCTCTGCAATGATGATCTTTTCATTTATGAAATGATCAATATCTGACATCAGTGTAGCTTTTGCTTCTGATTCAGACAGAGCCAATGGTAATTTTGCAATTCAACTCTTTAAAAACTTGATTGCATTGCCCATACTATTCGACAGTGGCCTGCATTCAATCAAGAAAGAAACATAGCTACTTATCCTTGCAGTTAGGTCTCTAATTAGAGTTTTTCTGGTGGAGTTGAGTAATCCTTGATAGCCTCTTTGAATGCTTCAAACATTGCAATACAACGTGCATTGCCACTCCATATATCCCCAGACAAATACTGCAATCCAACCTGACAAAGTAACAAAAGCCTTAATGAAACAAAAAAATCATCGGTACTGCTATCTCTTTGACAGATTGATCGACTGTAGCTGATCTACTAATAAAAACCACAAGAGATGCCGAAGTAAAAACAGTAAAGCATTATTTACAAAGAACATATTACTGGAAGGTATGACGCAATCAATAATTAAGTATTACTATTCTATATATCATGGTGGAAATTTTAGATTCCTTGTATGATTGCCACATGTCTGATCAATAATTAAACAATTATCTTTCAAATGTATCCTAAATGGACATGTATCAGCAATTTAAATCTGCTATGGAGTTTAAAGATTACCAGTCATATACATTATTGTACATTGAACATATGCATAGATGTGGATATATTTCATTTATGCATGTATGTGGGGGCATGTGAACTGTTTTCAATGTGCAAATGAGCAAGTCAAGTTGAAAGGAAAACCTTGTAGACAGCAGGGTGCATTGAATCAAGTTCAAAAAACTTGGTCTCTAAATCAGGGAGCTGAGTTCCATGTTCGTACTAAGGCAAATGCCTGAACAGCTCCACTCTATTCCTAACTACAGTTTGTTTCACAACAGCACGCTTTTTGGCTTTCTCTACTCGGCTTGTATCATCATATTGCATTCGAGGATGAGGAGCATCTTTCTTCCTTTCTTTCTCAGGTGCACGATCACCTACCTTCTTCTCAAAAGCTGCAACTTGAGAACCATCATTCTTTTGTGATGACAGTTTTGCTGCTTTACTTGGTTTTGAATGGTCGCGACCTTAGATGCAGCACTTGATGCCTTAGTCCCTTCAGCTAATAATACATTGTATCAACAGAAACGAAGTTATTAAGGGTTTTTTTTAAAAGGTGAAATACACACTATGAAACAAATATGTATGGCTCAACAATCAACTCATTTAGGTTTTTAGTCCTGTTTAGGGAATACACTAAATATTAGAGTCACACAGAAAAAGCCATGCAGTGGAAATGCAAAGATGGTTTACGAGCAGGAAGTCATTCAAACAAAGCTAATCACTGTTGCTTTTGAAGCACCCATGTCCATCACTTGTGTTTGAAACATTTTCAAACATGGGTACTATGACATGATCCTCCAAATACATGAACTTGGAAAAAATGAAAATACACATGTGATGCACAAACCCCCAAGTCCATGTAACATAAACGTGAAAAGGAAATTTCAGTAGCAGTATGTACCCTTTTGCAGCAACCTTGGCAGCTTATTGAGCTTCCTGCAGGGCACGTCTTTCAGCTTTAGAAGTTTTCTCTTTCAATGATTTTGAACTAACAGGTCGATCATTCAGTACTCCAACTGATGCTCCACCAGCCTTCTCCGCATTCAATTTTTCCCTTTCAGCTTGGAAACACTTCAATTTCACAATTCTTTAAAATAAATAAGCAAGACTCTAGTACATTCAACAATACAAGGAAAGATTCAGGGTGGGGAAGTGGAAAAAGTTGCTCAGCTAGAATGACGCTGTTTCCCCCTAATATGCAACCGTGCCAAAGCAGCACTGTGAGAATGAAATATATGCATTACATATGAATTAGTTAAGATTCAATATGATTATATTATTAAAATGTATAAAAACA